CGTGGGGGAGGCCGGGGCGGGGCCGCGGCGCCGGGGCCCGGCCCCCAGCCCCTCCCTGGGGGATCCTAGGCAGGGGCTCTCCCACTGAGCCATGCCCTTAGTCTTTTGTTTCTTTTCTTTTTGTTTTGACACTTAGTCTCACTATGCAGCCCAGGCTGGCCTCAAATTTAATAATTCCTCTGTTTCAGCCTCCTGAAAAATGGGATGACAGGCTTCTAATGAGCCCTCTGTGAGGTCCATGGTTAGGACACCCTGTGAAAGTTCTCTTAGATCTTTGGTAATGACCATTGTCTGCCTGAGGATTTGAAGAGACCTACTACATTCAGGACTCTGGACTCTAAAAGTCAGGCTTATTCAGATGCTGGGTCCAGGACACCAGGGAGGCCCAGGGGAATGTTCTGGATAGAGAAGGGACAGTTTGGGTTCACGTTTACAGTTCTCAGGAGATGAGGCAGTGAGGTGCTATGCACACACATGTATGTGGGGGCTTGGAACTGGCAACCCGGAGCAGGAAGGAAGTGGTCAGCAGTGAAAGGAGGGCCTGGGATGAGGGTGATGAGACAGGGCTGCTGTGTGGAGGGGGGAGGGCCTGGGATGAGGGTGATGAGACAGGGCTGCTGTGGGGGGGGGGGGGGGGGCTGGGGTGGGGGTGGGGAGGTGTCAGAGAAGCTGAGAAGAGGAAACTAAGAGCCAACTGAGCCTTTTCTAGGTGGATCCAAAAGGACCTTATCCTGTTTGCCTTTGGAATCAGAAATACCTGGTTAAAAATCCACTACCTTAATTTAATCGTGATGAGACAGGGCTGCTGTGTGGAGGGGAGGAGGGCCTGGGATGAGGGTGATGAGACAGGGCTGCTGTGTGGAGGGGAGGAAGGCCTGGGATGAGGGCGATGAGGAGGGGCAGACAGGCTTTGAAAGACACGGGCCAGCACGGATGTGGTGGATACAAAGGGGTAGGTGTGTAGAGAGGCTGCAGGGGGCCCAGTGTGGAGGTCAGTGCTGGCATGGCGGGCTTGCCCAGTTCTCACACACTATTGAGCTCTTTTCCTCTGTAAACAACACCTCGTCTTAAACCACTACCAGGAACTGCCCTGGCAAGATCCTGAACCACTTCCTGTTCTCTTCCTAGAGCTGATTTCGTACTGTGAGCATTAGCCATGCTACCAGGGACCTGGGTGTGAGGGCTGGGGCTCTTGCAGCCTCGAGAGTACTTTGCAGAGGCCTCACTCAAGTTGGGGGTCCACGGAAGGCTTTCTTGGCAGTTGCGTTCAGTCTATAGGATCTCGGTTACCCTGAGAAAGCCCTGTTCTCTCTGGGCTACCGGCCTCCCACGGCCTTCCTCCAGCTCGTGCCAATTAGCTACGTCTAACAGAGCGTGTGCAGTCTTGCCTGCCAGTCTGAAAACCTATGCACTTCCTTCAATGCCCAGCTCTGGACCTTGGTATCTCTCTTTGAAGGTCTTAGATAATCTCTTCCTGAACAGTCTCCCCATTTTCTGTCAGATGGCCCACTGATGCCAAACCCTACAGTGCTTAAGAGACAGATGGAGTGGAGTTCTGTCCTACACTGAGATTCGGAGAGACAGTGACAGTTGCCCATGGTCACACAGCAATAATGCCTTATAAACATGAATGCCAAGCACAATGGCACAGCTAGAGGTGGTTTGGCTCTTCGGGGACATACTTTGGACTTGGATCCCAGTGTGCCCAGGGTTCAAGAAGTGACTGCAGGCTGAGTCACTGGAGATGCGTGATTTAACCTCTCTGGGCCACGGGGGAAAAAGGGGCACCATGTTGTGTGTCAGAGACGGAGACTGAACACTGGGCACATGGCGGGTGACAGCTGGGGCTTGGCTGTGAGTATGTGCTGAAAGAACTTGAGAGTCATTTCAAAAGTGGGTGCTAGATGCGTGCTCATTTAACAGATGGGGAACCTGGGGCTCACAGAGGTGGTTTCACGTGTCCACGATCCCAGCCAGGAAAGGGTAAGACCACTGATCTTATTGTTTTCCTTTCTTTTATGTACTTTTATTTTCTCTGTGTGTGTGTGCATGGGCATGTATGTGTATGATGTAGGTGTATGTTGTGTGTGTGTGTGGGGGTGCCTGGGCACATCCTGGGGAGGACCCAGAGAAGGATCTGTTTTATTCCCTAAAGATGGGATTTCTCACTGAGCCAGCAGCTAGGCTGATAGCCAGCAAGCCTAGGCCACCCTCCCGCCTCTGCCCACCACTACACCTGGTGTTTGGCGTGGGTAATCCCAACTCTGGTCCACACGCATGACCAGCAAGTCCTCTCACTCACTGAGCCATCCTTCCAAGGTCACTATTTCAAAGTTAGGTTGCCAGGCATGCTGATTCATGGCTGTCATGGTAGCACTCAGGAGGCAGAGGCAGGGGCATCACAAGTTTGAGGACATTCTGAGCTTCGTGGAGAGACCTTGTCTTAAACTAAACAAAACAAAACAAAACAAACCATAGCTGGGTGTTGGTGGCATACACCTTTAATCCCAGCACTCAGGAGGCAGAGGTAGATGGATTTTTGTGAGTTCAAGGCCAGCGCGGTCTACAAAGTGAGTTGCAGGACAGCCAGGGATACACAGAGAAACCCTATCTTGAAAAATCAAAAATCAAAAACAAAACAACAGCAAAAAGAAAGAAAGAAAGAAAGAAAGAAAGAAAGAAAGAAAGGAAAACAAAAAACTAAAAGCAGAAACATGACCAGGTATGTGGCACTTGTCATCCTAGCTCTAGGAAGGCAGAGCAGGAAAACGCTCACTAGTTTGAGGCCAACCTGGTATACAGGGTGAGTTTGATGCTGGCATTTCTATGTAGCAGGACTTGGTCTCAAAATACAAATAAAACGAAACAAAATACCGGGGGAAAACCAAAGGGGTGGGTGAAATAGGTTCAGCTAAGTTTTAAAACTTGTGTTCTCAACCTCCCAGGGACAAATTTGATCTTGGAGCTGGGTCTTGTGGGAAAGAAGGTTACCAAGAGGGCAAAGATCAGAGGTCACAGACACCTCAAAGTTGTAAGAATTTCTGGAAAAGTTAGTGGGAGAGAAGGCCTGGGGACAGGCTAGCAGGAAGAAACAAAGGAAGTCCAGAAGTGCCTTGTCACTGGAGAGGAGCAACTGCCAGGTCTGCAGAGG